GGGCGCTGGATGTCCCGGTCGTAGGCTCGGAAGCAGGGGTGGCACAGGGGGCAGCCGGGGTAGCTGCTGCAGTGGCCCCGCTGGCACTGGTCGCAGCGGGGGCCCGTGACACCCGGGCGGCAGAGGCACCAGCCAGAGGTCTTGTCACAACCCACCTCCTCGGTGCCCTGGAAGTCACAGTCACACTCTGGGGGATGGAAAGGTGGAGAGATATAGAGGTGAAGCCCAGCAGAAGGGGGTAAAAAATACATTTTTATATTTATACACACACATATATACACACACACACATATATATATAAAACCAGATGCTATGAATGGGATGCCAACACAACATGAAGTCTAACCCCACCCATCAGCCCTGCAGCATCTGGGAAGGAGGTGGCACAGGCAGATGAATGGGAAGAGCCTCCCAGCCCTCTCCCTCATCCAGCCCCTGACCGTGCAGGGACAGACCAGCACAGTCAAGGGTCTTGCCTAAGGCTGCTGGAAGGGGACTGGTGGATACCTGGAGATGAGGGAGAGCAACAGGGATTAACTAGGAAGCTGTTCCAGAGAGGAAATCTCTCTTGCAAAATAGCCTGGGGAACACTGATATCAGGACAGGTGCCAGGTGCTCTTTTCCCAAGCAGCCCATGATCTCACAGCAGCAAGACAATGAAACAGAGCCTGCCTACCTGTGCACCCCACCCAGACGTCTCCGTAGTGCCTGTCTGGGCAAACCTGCTCCTGAGGGGCAGAGCACGTGCGTCCCGTGAAGCCTTCTCTGCATGGACACTGTCCTGTGAACTGGGGAAGGGGAAGTACATCAGAGAGAACCAGCTCTGGACACCTGCCTGGGAAAGCCCTCCCCGGACTGCTCTCTAAAGCCAGAACCAGGACAACTGTCTCTGCTCAGCCCGTGTCCCAGCACACCCACACTGCTCCTGCCAGGCTGCAGGCTCAGCCTCAGTGATACAAACAGTCTCCAAGCAGCCCCAGGATGCAAAGCAGAGTTCCAAGCTTTGTTTCAATGACAAAGGAATCACCCACAAGCAGCTGGTTTGCCATCTCGGGTCTCTTCCCTGTACTTCAGGGACTTACCTTTGGCTCTTAGAATTTGTTACAGGTTTTTTTTCATATTTAACTTTAATTTTCCCAGTTGGCTTTTAAGCCTGAAGTGACACACATGCTTTTCATTGATAAATGAGGACAATTAAGTTGCCTTGCCTGCATGAAGATCTATTAGGATTTCCTTACTGAATATCAGGCCTTTTTAAATGGCTTAATCGTGCCTCAGTAATTACCACCTTCTTTCATTTTCCTGAATAGCCTGTCATAGTGTTTTCTAGGAAACAGGAATAGGATAATAAGAGCAGGACATACTAGGGAACAATACAACCCTTTTGTGGAGTCTCCCACAGATAGGATGGGACAACAGAGCTACCCAACACAGCGTTTTGATTCTCTGAGCAATTTCCCACATGGTGCTGCCCAATGGGGACATGGCTCTGCTGGCAGTGGCACAGCAGCTCGACCCCCTGCTGCCCCTCACAGTAGCAGGGCAGAGCTGGGCAAGTTAAAAAAGCAGAGAGCAAGCTTGCAGGTGCATGTGTGAAAGAAGGCAGGGAAACGAACAAGAAATATTGCTGCAACGTGCTGGGTCTGCCCTAGGGATGCTGATGGGGGGCTGGGTGGTCCCTGGTTGCAGTGGGGGCTGCGGGAGCCGTGGGGGTGGCAGCCACAGG